CACCCCAGAAAACCAAGGGGACCAAGCGGCGCCAGTGGCGGCGGGCCCGGGGGGGGGGCGAGGCAGCCAGGACAGCGGACCTCTTCCGCTGCCATGCTCCGCGGTATCCGCGGCGGGGACAGCCACAGAGGCGGCGGCGGCGGCGGCGGCGGTGGCAAGGGAACGATGAGCGTGGCCAGCGGGAGCAGCCGTGCGAGCAGCCGCGGGCGGAGCGCCCGGTCGTACTCCCTCTCCCAACACTCAGCCGGCAAGACCTCGCACCGTTCCTCGGGGACAACGAACAACAGGCAGTGCGCATCGACCACAAGCGGAGGCAGCGCCTGTGGCGAGACGAACTCCGCCCGCTCCAGCAGGGACAGCTGGGCGTTCGACCCGATAATCATGGCCATCAACGGCTACGGCTGGGGCGTGGGGCATGGGCATGGGGGGTCGAAGCAGATCACCTCGGGGGCGGGCGGAGGCGGGGGGGCGGGGCTGGGCGGCAGCGGTCGCAAGCAGCGAAATACTTCTTTCAGCGGGAGCTGCGGCGGCGGCGGCGGCGGCGGCGGCGGGGGGCAACGGGGCTCGGGCAGGTGGACCAGCGGCGTCCGGCGACGAGGCAAGTCGAAGGAGAGGGCTGCCTCGGTGGCGGGCTCGGCCGGAGGCGAGACGCGCAGCAGCGGGGTGAAGTCGCTGGTGATGTTCGCGGAGTACGGCACCCGGCTCCACTGCCCCCACTGCAGCAAGGAGGTGGCCGGGTGCGGGTTCAGGGGCTGCTCTGGCTCCCTCATCCGCAAGCCGAGCTTCAGCGACGAGTTCGGCCCGGAGGAGTCGTTCACCCTGCCCGCGCCCCAGCCCGTCCGCGCGCCGGCGTTCGGGGGCTTTACTTCTGCGCTGCCCGGGGGCGGCGCCGGGGGAGCGGTTGGGTCGTCGCTTTCGGCGGCAGCGGCGGGGGCGGGCGGAGGGGACGAGATGGTTCCGAGCGGTGGCGGCAATAACAACATGCTTTCCCCCTCGACGCAGAACTGTGGCAGCGTGCGGAGCGCGAGCCACCGCACGACGAGCGGGGAGGGCGGCGGCGGCGGGACCGGCGGCGGAGGCGCCCACAAGAGCCTGCCGATGGCGGCGGCGGCCAGCCGCCTGCGGATGAGCTTCTGCAGGGGGCCCTCCCCTTGCGACACGTTCGACAACGAGAGCGACGACGACGACGACGACGACGACGATTTCGACGATTACGATGACTACGAGGGCCAGCGGTCGAACTTCGGGATAAACTCCCCGACGTCCTCCTACGCGTGGGGCTGAGATGCGCTATGACGGCGGGCGGGCTGGGCGGCCTGTCTATCTATCTCTCCCTTACCCTCTCCGTCAATGCCGCGCAAGGAGAAGCGGAGTGGCTCTTGTTGACGACGCATGTGGTGTGTATGGCCTGCCTGACCTGGGTAATACCACGGGGCGTCTTTTTTTTTTTGGCAGGGGGGGGGGGGGGGGGGACCCCTAAGCCGGGCTGCCGGAATCCTTAAAACCTTGACCCCCCATCCCCAAAAAACCGGGGAGGAACACCCCGGGGTTTCCCCCGAACCAGGGGGGGGGGGGGGGGGGGGGGGGGGAAAAAGTGCGAAAAAAAATTTTTTGGGGCCAAAAAAAAAAGGGGTCCCGGGCCCTTTTGGGGGGGGGGGGGGGGGGGGGCTTTGGAAACCCTTTTGGGGAGAGGCCCCCCCCCCCCCCCCCCCCCTTTTTTTTTTTCGGTTTCCCAACCCCCCCAAAAAACACACAGAAAGGTGGGAAAAAGGGAAAAAACCCCCTTTGGGGGCTTTCCCCCCCATTTTTTCCCCTCCCCCCCTTGGGGGGGGAA